TCTCGGGAGATTTCGCGTCGTTCGGCCCCCGCATCCAGCCCGAGCCTTCCGCCTCATTTATCTCTCTTGGGCTATCTGCGCGGCGGTTCGGGGGAGCTCATAAATTCCCGTGGACAGATATAGCCATTCTATAGAATTAAAAAGATTTTGATTCTCTATCCCGGATCTATGCGCTCCGCGGAACAATTGCGCAGACAGCCAAAGAGAGAGATAAATCACGTGAAAAACCGCTCCGGAGGCAAGGGCCGCGCGACCAAAAATCTCCGAGATTTTGGTCGCGCCGCCTGTACCGAAAATCTCGGAGATTTTAGAGCCTCTAGCTTTTCCGAAGGGCTCTAAAATCTCCGAGATTTGAGAGCTCCCAGCGAGCCCGCAGGAGGCATTTTAAAGGCGAGTCGGAAAATCTAGGCCGCGCGCGAACGAAATGCTTGAAAATCGTCGGGCCATAATATTGAGATATTAAATATGGATCTGCCAATTTCTATATAGAATAATGAATTTCAATATCCTGAAATTGCTATAAATAATCTATTCATTTCGGAAAATTAATTTTGAATAGATATAGGAAATATGCATATCGATATGAATTATATCAATTATAATCTTCATAATAAATTCATATCCTCTATTATCATCATAAATTCTATCATAGAATTTCAGAAAAAAAATATATCCTCTATTATCCTCATAAAATCTATCGTAAAATTTCATAAAATTTTATATCCTCTATTATTTTCAAATAACCCATCATAAGATTTGAAAAATATTCAGAATTCGAGAGATATCATATTCCTCTTCCCCTTTTCTATTATGAGGAAGAGAGAAAAATGCAGAATATAATCTGATAAAAATTTCTATATTGATTTTTCTTGAATTTATTTCTATAAAATGAGAATTATTTGATAATAGATAAAAAGAAAATATTTTTTCAAGAATATTGAATAATTTCCTAAATAACGAATATAGTATGAATATAGAATATTATCTTATATCATTTATATCATATATCAAATAATATCTATCTCAAATAAATCAGATATCGAATAATAAAGAATATAGGTATCATTTATCTATCATATGAAGTCTTATATAGCTGAAAATGAATGATTGAAGTAATATCATATTTCTTCGTATCATAGCCTTTTCTTGATCTGATAGATAATCGATAATATAAAATCAAAATAAAATGATATTATATTAAATTAGAAGAAAATCTATTATAGAAATCATTCATAGATAATTTTCGATTCTATCCTCGAATTATTCTATATGATCATTGATCTATAAATCATTTCGATTTTTCGAATCTAATTCGAATCATATTGATCAAATAGTATAATCTTTCAAAATCTAAAAATATTTAATTAGAAAATTTCAATATTCATATCTAAAATGAATTCTGCAATACGGAGTTTCCGAAATATTCAATAAATCAATAAAATCATCTAGAGATTGAATCGTATATAATTTAGAAAATTCCCATTTAATTCTTTCGATTTTCTGACCTTTCTGATTACAATCTTTTAGAGAAATCTGGATTGGAAGGATGATAAATATTCGATCTTGGTAATATTTTATCAATTCATTTTAGTAAGAAATGAATTTCTAGAAAATAAAGAGAATCATTGAATCATATATCATATATATATATCGAATGAAAGAGAATATCTCTTCAACGCAACGCGGCGATCTATAAATTCTGAAAGCTTGGATTCTCCTTTCCGGATCTATGCGTTCCGCCGAATAGATATGCAGATAATCGAAAAGAGATAAATCAAAAAAGCAATCATTTTGGAAATAGATTGAAAGATTTTGATTCTCCGTCGAAATCTATACGTTCCGGCGACCCCTCGCGCAAAAAACCAAAGAGAGAGAATTAATTCGAAATCTCGGGAGATTTTTAGGGATTTTAGGCGCTTAGGCCATTGGATTTAGGGCTTAGAATTTGGGCCAAGGATTTGAAGATATCCTCCCCAAAATTAATATGAAACCCTATGTAGCTGCTTTTGGTTTTCGTTTCTTAGAAATCAAAGGTTTCATGAAAAAGAATTTCATGAGATAATAGATTTTTGGATTTATAGATTTAGCTGGGGAGAAATAGGATGCCCAGCACTTCAAGCACTTCAACGAATCTGACCTCGAATTATTTATATCTAATTTGGGAGATCCTCAGCTTGCTGAAAATTCTTATAGAATAGAAGAAATAGATCTTTGGAATAGCGCTCCTCTAATCTATAATGATCATCTCAAAAATATCCCAAGAAATCCGTTCCTCTCTTCCCTATTAATCTACAATAAGAATGATATTATAATCTCCAAATCAAATATGAGCCCCTCCTTGATTTTTTCTGAAAACGTCCGCAATCGTCTCGTGAGCAAAATGGAGGGGTTTCCAGGCTAGTCCGAAGAGAGGGGAATTGAAAATATAAGAGAAATCTGGATCAGGATAATCTGATGATATCATATCTTATTTAAAATTGATTTCTCCCCATATATTAATAATCCGCAACAATATAAATATCCTTCATTCAATCCTGAATAATTTCTATAATCCTTCTGCGAATAAAACTGAAATACGTAATTTCGAGGTCATCAATTTGAAGTTCGTTTCTCAGGATCGTCATTTCTCTGAGAATATCTTATATAAGAATCATTTGAGAATATATTTTTTGTATTTTTTTGATATTTCTAAAGAAAAATGTCGCCACTATCGACATTACCGATCCTAGTCCCTTTCATTGCCAACTAGGCTTCTGGAGAATTACTTAATTGAGCTTTAGCATATCAGGCAATTGCCGTGGCGGCGGAAATATCCGCAGAGGAGGAAGAGGCGCCATGCAATATGTTTTTTTCCAGTGCTCTGAGCCTAGAAGGCATTCCCATAACCGCTTCATTATCTCTATATATTCTTATAATCGCCGCATAATCCCTCGCATAAGACCCCCCGCATAGGATAAATAAATAGCCTATTCGATTTCCGTAGTCGTCAAAATTGATCTATTAAGCATCTATCTTCCTATCTATTAATCTATCTATTAAGAAATCTAGAAAAATCATTGAATATCATTCTAGTTTCCCAATCAATCGATATTCAAATGAAATATGAATATAATTTATCTATCATCGAATTTTTCAATATCATATATATATAGATTAAGATTTAATAGTTCATCTCATATTCTCTATTCAATAATATATCGATCTAATCTTTAATATATCTCAATATTATGGCGCGATCATTTCTAGGCATTTCGATCACGTTGGGCCTAGCCTTACCAGCTCGCCTCTAAAATGCCTCCTGCGTGCTCCCTAGGAAATCTAAAATCTCGGAAATTTTAGAATCCTTCAGAAAAGCTGAAGGTTCTAAAATTTTCTAAGATTTTCGGTGGAAGCGGCGCGATCAAAAATCTCAGATTTTAGGTCCCGCGGCCTATCCCCCCGGAGCGGTTTTTTGCGTAATTTATTTCTCTCTCTGGCAGCGTATGCGTTTCCTCGGCGGAATTGATAATTCTGAGATAACCGCGTTCGTCCTATGCTCCCGGAGACCTTGGATCGCAAGATCAAAAATATCCCGAATTTTGGTATCATTTCTTTCTCTTTAATTGTCTGCGGTCCTTGCCCCCAAATCTAGTTCCGCCAGATTCATTTCTCCTTAGTTATATACGCACTGCTCTGAGGAACGTATAGACCCGGGACGGAGAATCCAATTCTTTCAGAATTTATAAATTGACCGCGGATGTCTACGAACATTTATGCGTTCCTCCGAATTACCGCGTAAAATTAGCCCAAGAGAGATAAATGAAGCGGAAAGATTAGATCCGAGACCTTGGGTCGTACGATCTAAAACCCCCGAGATTTCGAATCATTTTTCTCTTTGGCTCTCTATGCAGCGGCTCGACGGAATATATAGATCCGAGATGGAGGGCTAAAATCTTTCAGAATCTATAGATTATTTATTTTTGCTCAGCGATAATAAACGACCAAAAACGCCCGCGGCTAGAAGAATATCATTTACTATATTAGCTTTTCATAGACTGATCTCATATCATTTTCCGCCAAGATAACAGCTTTTATACGGTGCTGCATGAATCGAGAAGGGAACAGATCCCCCGGCTCTCTCCCCCAGGGAAGAAGAGCCCCATCACGATTCGGCTTTCGAATTATGAATTCTGCGGAGGGTTATGCGTATAGGCACGCGTAAAACGGGCGATAGAAGTATTTCGTAATAGATTGCCTAGAAAAAAATTCAAATTCTGAGATGTCTCTCTAGATCCTTGGAAATAATCTATAAACCCGCCCCTTCAAGAATGCCTCGAGATAGGCATTTACTTCTTGGAGCAGCGACTTGACAGACATGGCAATGCCCCAAATACGCAGTTCCCTCTGCTGCTGTTCGGGATATCTAGTTATAAAGATATAGGATTTGGAACTCCATGTATTAGTTTTCTTCCTCATCAGCTCGCTTGCCGTTACGAGTACATTCCAACAAGGATGCTCCGCTGCTGAGCGGGTCCACTCTAATTTTCATCATCTATCATCAATCAGATCTATCGATCGGTCGCCTTGCACTATATAGGGAGTGGAATATCACTAGTCCTTATGTCAATGCCTCGTTGATTCTCAACTTGCGGGTCGACAATAATAATTCAATCTGTAAATTTGGAACCCCGAACCCTAAATTCCAAACCCTAAACCCTAAAGAAACGCCAAACATTGAGACCTTGAGCCGATTATTGCATCCCTCTCCCTGCGATATTTTTCATAATCTATATTGAGAATCAAGCCCTCTCAATATATTTTGCGAATCCCAGTTCTCATGGTCTGTATTAGAATGTAATACGAGTATCAGTATCATATGAATTTTTGAGCCGAAGGAATTCTTCCAGAAGTCCCCGGCTTATTAATGGACTTGAGGATGACGATATAGGGAGGGAATAGCAAATAGGGCCCTCATGAAGAAATGCACGTTTTTCCGCATCATGCCCTGACAGGTAGCGCCGTTAGCATGGCTCTGCGTCCTGAAGATTGATGCGGTAGTAGTATTCCACAGTGTTGGGGCCCGCGCCTATCCTTGTAGAAATCCTTGGAAGCTTGTAACGCGTGTAGGCAGCATATTGAAATTCCATGTGTTTGTCCGAGTAAAGGTATTCTGACTCATCCCATTTGCCCTTCACATACGGCTCCGGAAATGATCTGTTCTTAAACCACTTGATGAAGGCTGGGCCATCGATGGAATGGGCCAGAACTGCATCAGCGATATCAGGCCAAGGCCCATAGGTCATCTTCCCTTCTCGGCTCCAGTCCTTCGTGGGCATTGTGTGTGACTGCCCCAGCCATTCTGCCATGTCTTTGGGCGTGGCCTCCTGCCATGGATCATTTATGACCTTGGTGATGCTGGCAAGCTTAAAGCGGAGGCCTGGAAGCAACAGCCATTCCATTTCGGCGGCATTCCACTCGGTGACGTTTTTCCCATAACAGGTCTCAAATGTCAAATATGTGGGGAAAGCCTCTCCTTTCCTGGGTTGGTTGCTATTAATTCAGGAACAAAAGCTAAATTACAGTAATAAGGAAGCCCTAGTACTCACTATTTACCCCTACTGGGGTAATTTTAACCCTCAACTCTAGACCCTACATATCCGTACTACAGTAGCTAAATTCAAGTTCCGTGACAGCAGCCCAGTTTCCCAATGCAATCGTTGGCGCACGTGGCCGGTTCACTTTTCCTGCCCACGGGCTTCGGGCTTAGGGCTTACGTTTACGGTTTAGGGCTTAGGCCGAAGGATATACCTAGGTCCCAACAAGGGGTATATAGGGATATGCAAGGACGCATAGCCCAATACTGAAAAATCAGATGGAAAACGAAATTGAAACTGTGCTCAAATCGCATCCCCTGTACTATCCCAACGTAACCCACAAATCATAACACTGTACCGGTTCCTCTTCCACTATTCTCTATATGACCATAAGCCGTGAACCCTAAACGGTAGTCCTGCCCATGAACTTGTAGGCGTGGCTGTCGTCGGTGGTCGTTGACTGGAACCATGGGAAGCTGATGGCAGAACCAGCAGCCAAGGCTGCCTGGAGTCGTTACAGGCATAAAGTTGGGTTCAGGGTTTAGGGTTCAGGGTTTAGTTGTTGTTACAGTTGAGGGTTTTTAAAAGGGGGGAGGGATTGGGGCCTTTTGAAGGTATATGATGGTATAGGATTTAAGGTCTAGGGTCTAGTTGTATTTGGTTCGTTTAGGAGTTTAGTAATAAGAAAATGGAAAATAAAAAGATGTAATGTAAACTTAGATGAAAGTTTCCAAAAATTGCCCTAAAGCCTAACCCCGTTTTAGGGAAGTCCCTAGAATCAGGATCAATATGATGTGCTATCTGCAGCAGGGAAGCCCTTTTTTTAAAGACCTATTCAACATCCCTTCTGGGGCCCACTGCATTGTGCTAGACAACATTTTCGGGGTTTCCATTTTCTTTTCCATTCTCCCAATATTTCCCCAATTACTATATAGTAGTTTCCATTTTTCTTTTCCATTATCCTCCAGTATCCTCATATATTTGACAAGCCGCTTGCATTTCCTTAAGCTGCTCTGAAGACGTCCAGCCTCCTCGGTACAGCTGGGCTGTGCCCATGCTAGGGAGGCGGTTCAAAGCGTTGCCCAAGGACACCTCGAACTTGAAGATACCCTGCACCATTGCAGATGTGGTACCCTGAAAGATGTGAAAGCCCTCGAAGTTCGGCGGCAGCATTCCATGACCGATTTGGCCCATGGGGCGAGAAAACTGATAGTCGCCGAGATAATCGTCGAGGGTCTTGAGGTCTTCATCCGACAGTTTCTCCCCCTTCTGCGCCGGATCCCACCAGTTCAAAAACCTCCATGCATCTGTCTGCGTCTGTTCTTTTTGAAGAGCCACTTCCTCCCCACAAACCTTCACCTTCACCCCGCCCTTCACTTCAGTGACTTTGGCTTCGAGAAGGCTTTTATACCCGCACTGCTTCACCTGAACAATCGCTCGCACTGCCGAAGCGGGATGTGCACTCAGCAGGCCAAGCAGCAAGCCCAGGGCAGAACAGCACGAACGCAGCATGATCAAAACTCAACTACTTTGCAAACCACTGCTACAATGCCAAGCTTGAGGACTTCTTGGCTGAGACCGCGTTTAGCAACACAAATGTTCCGAATGTTGCTAAACCATCAAAAGCAGCTTCTGCTTGTGCTGTTTGCGTTCCGCTCTTTTTCTGGCAGCCGGCGCTCTGCATGCGAAGGACGGATGCTGGAACTTTAGAGCTGACCGCCACATAATCGGTGCGTCTGCTATCATGTTCTGCGGCCCTCTCGGCAAACGCAGTTAACAGGACAACACTCAGATCGGCTGATTTTTCACCAGCAGGCTGGCTCTTCCCAAGAAAACTGGCACCCTGTGACTCATGTTGGACATCGCCTCCAGCAGCTGGTGAATTCCCAGCCCATCTGGCACTCTGTTCGCGTGACAGAAACACGCGCAGGCAAGTTCAGCTCCCGAGATCCTATGAAACTCCCTTATGCAAGTGAGCGGGGGTCGGCGTATTCTTCTCAAAGCACATCGCTTTTTGAACAGGCCTTTAGCAATGAACCTGAATTCGCTCCATCTGTTGCTGCGCGAAGAGCTATTCCAACCCGAATCAGCAGTTGTCTGGACGCGAATACAAAGGCGGCTCAGTGGGGCACTTCTCTTGCCTTGGTGGGGCACAGGCATTTTTGCAAGTGAGCCCTTGCTCACTTCGTGTGTTCACTTGCTCAGCATGGAAAGAACAAGCTCCATTTGCAAACGCATGATGGCGACATGCCCGAACACCACTTTCGCAAGGCTCCATGGAACCGACCGAGGAGCGAATGACTTACTTGACGAAAGCGAGTGCATACAGGTACCTTTTCGATGGCTCCTGTTCCCCAGGCCTTTGGAAATTCTCTTGCGAATTATAGAAGCACTAAGAAAACTGGCACGACACTGTTGGAGAAGGAGACAGACCTCATACAAGCCTTGTCCAGACCCTAGGAACCAAGGCTTTGGTAGCCCAGATGCATATGCCTGTACATTGCTCTTGTGCCAAGCTTTGGCAACTCCAAACCGTATACGCCGGTCCTCAGTTTCAAGGAAGGTCGAAACCGTTGCATGCGGTGCACTAATCTTGAACGCAAACGTTCCATGGCTCTTCAAATCAAAATTAGGCAGAAACCGTTCCAGCATTTGCAGGGTGATAGCACGGTGTGGGACACAATCGGCAAATCACGGAAATCGGACCATTTTCACTGTACAAGAATTGCTCAGACTCATTACACAACAGTCAATAGTCCATAGGCGTGCAAAGGCAAGAGTAGCAAATAATACTAGAAGCCGGATGTACATTGCAAAAGATACGTCCAGTTGGTGTTCCACGCGATCCCTGTCAAATCCAAGGGACACAGGGACTTCTGGCTGCACAAGTGCTGGTAGCTACTGCGGGCTTTTAGTCTCTTGATGTGATATTCGATGCGTACGGACCTACGGCTAAAAACTGCAACACCGTCGCGTTGGAATCCTAGATCCCAATGCCCTCGCCTTGAACTCAACAGCTTCACTCCAAATCCAGCAAAGGCGCAACTGGCATAGCGGGTTCTCCGGATCTGCGCTAACGCAGGCTTCTTTCCGGACCGATGGGGCCTCCAGCACGTTGAGGTCATACACATCCTGCAGCTGTGCTTGAATGTAAAAATCCACATTGAGCCCTCGTGCCTGCAACAACCCGGCATCAAAGCATGGTACCGTACTGCAGGACATATACGTTGCAGGTTCTGCAGTCATGCAGGACAATATCATGAAAGCCCCTTCATTGAAGCTGACGCTAGCATGAAGACAAGCCGAGTCCTTCCCAGCAGCATGTCACAAAAGACAGAGGACAAGGGTGCCGTTTCGGGAGCTATAGGGTTTATGCAGCGAGCAAAACGATAATGCAGAAATGAGCAGGCTCAGGATTGTTCTTGAATAGAGTATGAGCATGTGAGACAGAGTTGGGTTCAGGGGGCAGGGTCTGTCGATAATCTCTCTCTCTTGCTAAGGGGAACATACAGAGCAGAAAGTGGACCTTCATTTCATTTTTCTGGCAACCACACCAGGAACTGCGTCCCCCTTCATTCTGTGTAAGAACCTCAACCTGGCAAGACTAATGACTCAAGCAGAAGCTTGTTCCGTAATCGGATCACTATTATCCATCACAATGAACACGCGACAAAAACACGACTATCCGCGTTGCACCCCAAACCTAGAACAGGAAACGATGCGGCGCAACGCGGATGCAGGCTTTCTGTGGAAGTTCGACATGAGCATGTGTGTTTATCGCTGCTGAATGCTTTGCATGACAGGGTTGCCATTGGCAACCTGCTTCCCCCATCGGCTTGTCTGAGGCAAAAGCGCGTCTGTTTGCAGCTGTGCTTCAACGTTGGTCTGCTCAATGCAACCTTACCAGGCCAGCATGTTGCAAATCCGACATGCAAGTTGAAGACGGGCCCTTCACAACCCTGAGTCTTACGTCATTCCCAAGGGCTGGTACGGCTGTACAAGCACTCGGTGAATTGCCAACTTGCGGATGCTCCCTACGTTGCGTCGAACAAGTAGAACAAGGAGTGATGGCGACAGCCCTTGTGTGCTCTGCTTCACGTCTGTGTTCTGCAGCAGTTGCCTCCAGCTGGGCTCAACCGGTTACCTGAACAGAAACTAGCATAAGCTTTCAGCCAGCCTTAGCTTTGGAAATCTGAAGCGGACAGGGGATTATCGAGTCAGAACTCGACCTGTTCCGAGTTGGAGGAACAGATCCTGCACACATTCAGGACCTTGAGCTGCATCTCTTCGTCGATCAAGAAGGAAGGCCATGGAAACTCAATCTTACTAACTAGCAATTGCCGAAACGCTGTAGACACCCAACGGAGTTCAGCCCAACTTCTAGCAACTTACACTGTGTAAAAAGTCCGAGATGCTGAAATCGTTATCAATCGCCTTGAAGACACCGCCCGCTTTCCACATAGAGCACACGAAGACGTCACACACCTGACAGCATGCCGTAGCCATCCGTATATGCTACGAGTGTTGGTTAGGCATGCTCCAACAATTTCAGCGATGGAAAAAGGATCCAAAGCCCTTTCTTACTCCATTTCCGTGTCATGCTCGATTTTCTTTTCCATTTGGTTCTCCATTATTGCGGGGTACTATGGTAACTTACTTTAAGCACCTTAACAGCAAGAAGGACTGCCAAGATGCCATGGCAATTGAAGGAGCAGTCGTCCCGTTGTTGAAGACTGAAGGGTACAGAATTCCGTCGGGCTCCGCAACTGCTGGGATCTCAGCCAGCCTGTGCAAATCATCGCAGACTCCCCAGTTAGCTGCACAGGCACTGCAGAAAGTGGTTGGTTCTCCGTACTGAGTGCGTACGTCTGAAGCGAGCTCAGGACGAAGGAGTGGTAAACAATCTTGCACGAAGGTTCCCTAAACTACCGCAATATCCCCAGACGAAGGAAATGTAATATTGTGCAGGAGTTCACGGAACATCAGTTGTTCTGGAAGGGTTGCCACACGCAAGACGAAGGCCACTTCCAGGCTTGCAGATCAGAAGACTCAAACTTGAATCAGGAACCCCTGGCGCTGACGCCCCAAAACTCAATCCCAGACAGTGCACCGCTGAATCCTAAACCCTAGGCCAAACAAGCGGGATTCCTCAAACCCCCAGGGTCGCTATCAACCTCTTAGAACGGACCATCGACGTTGTGAAGCCTGCACATCCCTCACACTTCTTACCTGTGTAAGTCCTATATGGGCCTACTTTCCCATTACAAAAGGGATGAGGAAAATAAAATGGAAACTAATACGTAGTAGATTAGGTTTATGTAAGGATCATGCAAAAAGAAAATGGAAACTGCTATGTAGTATATTGTTGGGGAGAATCTCCCTCATATCTGTGCAGGACAGCCGCTCCATCCCCTTGGCCCTGGCTTGCCGGTATAGCTCCGTTGCAGAGAGGTTGCTGAAGGAAGATCCGGTCACGTGCTGATTCCTTGACTGGGATTTCCAAAAATGGGGGTCACCCTTGTCTCGAGACCTATATTATACTGTGATATGGGGGGTTTCAAAGGGTCATATTGGATTTCGGTTGGTTATGTTATGTTGTTTTGGGGTTATCACGGATATTGGGTTTAAGACTAATCAATCATCAGTGCTATTCGCCATATGCGCTGCAAATCAGAGTCCAAGCAAGCAGGAAAGGCTTCTCCAATTTGGGGATGTAGCGCGTGACGATGGGGACCGCCACCTGCTCACTCCACAGAAAGACATTTAGGGAGTTCTAAAATTAGGGTCCGACTTTGGTACCCCTAAATATTACGTCTCAGAATATAGTTTACAAGCAAAAAGAGTCTGGAATTCGGAGAACAGACCACTTGGGGGTAGCGTCATCTCGGCCACAATTCAAAAACTGGTGCTTGAGGTTTGGATGCATCATCAGGCAAGTATATTACGAACCAGGAGTGCAATTCTTGATAGTACCTAAAACCGGCTATAGGATATGTCCCAGTTAAAATCTGAACCTTTTCCTACCTCTTATTACACACAAAACATGACTCCGAAATTTTAGAAACCCCAAGATGTGTGCAGGTTTGGCAGGACAGCTGGTTGACCACCTGTCACGCGCCATCTAGTTGCTTTAGACCCTACCGCGAGCCAACAACAAAAGGAAAGTGCTTCTTCAAGTCTAGTTTGGCAGGTCACATAGCCAGCACTACCAACCTGAAGAGACCCCAACAGCTTCCTTGCAAGCTGTAGAGGGTCCATGGTGGAGTCATGGCATTTCTGAGATCTGCAAGAAGTGGGAACCTATGGGAGCATATAGCTGCCCTTTACTCAAACTGATGCGCTAAATGTCTGGCTATCATGCACTGCAGTTCTAAGAGGGAATCCACAACATGCAGTTTGGTCAGGGGGCCAACGTGTTTCACTATGTTGCCGTTGCAGCCGACCGGCCTCAATGAACTCCCAGGTCAGACACTGCTTTTGATCTTGCGGAGCGTCGTAGGGCGGCTTGCACCTGGACAAGCTGCGCATCGTGGGGGTGCTTTTGTGACCCAGATCCTCCTGTAGGGCTCCTGTACAGCAAGTCTTGAAGCAGCCTTGATCCAGCTTAGGAGTCGAAGCACCCAAAAGGAAGTTGAAGCATCGGGAAATGAGAAGCGTATGATATTGGCCCAGGTCTCATGCGCCGGACCAACATGTCTCACATGCGCCGCAGCAATATAATCTGTTGCCTACTACCTTTTGAACACCCAAATGCCTCAATTAATGCTCAGGCGTGTGCTACAAGCTCCACATAGCCCCGCAGCAGCAGCAGCAGCAGCCGCAGCCATGCAACCTCTCAATGTATATCTCCTGAAACACCCATCAAAACCCCGTTCAGGAGTTTGGAGAACTGCCAGGTGGCAATCAGTCTGCAGCCTCGATGCGGGTAGTTGTTGTGGAGAGTGTCGATCCATCCAGTCAGCATCGCGTGATACCCGTACTCCAGGCCTGTACAGTACTTCTTGGGAGTGTCGGAAGGGTGTCGGAGTGAGGGTCTATCTGAATCAGCCCTGGAGACAAGTGTTTTAAAATCTGCGAGGAACGCATAGGAGTTGCTGGTATATCAGACGTGGAGTCTTGTCACCTGCCGAAAAGGGATTCAAGGCTCTTTGGAGCAATGTGAAGCCAGGATGGTCAGGTTCCGCAGCTCGAGTCAAGAGTTGTTGCACAAACTGAAGAAGCATCGAGAGTCTGCAGGCCATGTTCTTCCTAACCTCCCGCTGCGAAGCAGCAAGGCCAGCAAATAGAATTCCCATCACAAGCATCATCGCCGCGAGCTATACTCAGACATCCATGCCATACCGTGCCATACCCCAAGTCTCAGCGGCACTGGCTGGAGAATTGGTCACTGGATCACCCTGCGAGGCTGCTGGACGGAAAACACACTCGACCTAGCAACTGTCCCTGATGCTGTCTGTTACACTTGAGAAGTGGCCTCCTGCTTCTTGTTTTAATTCTTGAGGAGCTGACAGCGATGGCTGTCAAGGTCACCATGAGCTTTACATGAGCTAGGTATGATAGCAATATCCTGCAATCTCAGGAGGATGGACCATATTCCCGCTTGCAACAAACTATGGCCTCAGTTACTGTAGCTTCTCTGGCAATGGACAAGAACTTGCCCTGGCGCTTTTGTGTTCTAATTGAAGTTCCTCCTCAGCAAAATACATCTCCCAAAGGCCTTCATACTTGTGGAAGAAAGCATTGGCCCCACCTGGCGCATCCAATGCAACTTTGTTGCCTGGCCCTTCATGCTCCAAGTTCAAAACATCGTTTGGAGAGATTACCCCGATAATGGACAATCAAGTGGAAAAGAAAGTGGAAAAAAAATCACAGCTGGTGGATGTATACAGTGTTGTCATATTTGGTGCCTGTAAGTGGGAGCCACGCCCAAGTTGTTTCTATGCTCTCCTTTTGGCACTGAGTGCTGCCTGAAGATTACAACTCCAGGTCTCTGAAATGTGCAGGGAGTTGAGACAATTACGGACTTGGCTGGACAACTCGGATCTGCTTTCTTCTGCGGGAAGAAGCTAAAGTCAAGTGTATTTTTTTCCTTGTTGGGCTTTAGCACGTGAAAACTTCAGCAGAAAGCCAAATTACATACATGTATACATATATATGCTTATACATACACACACATATACATATTGCCAGAACTCAAATCCCCGTTTCGGTCCCCATTCTCATACAGCCCCGAGTTTGGGGGGCCAGAGGGGGAGAATTTAACAACCCCCCTGCTGCATGTATGCACATGTTCAACAGTGCCCAGTGATGTCAGCTAAGCACCCCACTCTCATCGAAGGTGGAGCCTAAGTTCTCTGGGCCAATAGTGAGGGATTTCTTGAAATAGGGGTATCCTAGCGACTCTAGGCATATCGGTCATTCTCAAAACTATGGGACCCTTTTGGCTATGGATTATATTACGGCACCTAATATTTAGGGGTACGATTTCGATTTTGGGAACGGCCAAAAAAGAGGTTTTTGAAAATTAGGGGTGCCATTTTGGGGCTCCCCATAATAAGGATTGTAGTATATTGGGGTTTATATCGAGTTCCCTCATTTTGCGAAACTACCACACATAATTAAAGGGACTGTTAATGATTGTGCAGGGATTCTGGGGTGTCCCTTGAGGACCGGTATATTATCGTATACTATGGGATATTGTAATATATTATGGGGTATTATAATATAGCATAGCATAATGGATTATAATCTACTATAGAATATTATAGTATAGAGATGATCTTCAGGAAGTCTCAAATGGAAAGTCATCGCATTCTATGCATGTACTGCGCAAGGATTATCAGGAGTATATATACCGATTCGCGAGACTTTCCCCATTCCAGGGACGCAGCAAAATTTTCAAAAGAAACCCTGAAATTTGAGGAACTGCAACACCTATGGACAAGGGCTCCAGAATGGAGTTGCGAGTACTTTGTTGGACTTCTTCAGCCTTCGCTAGCAGTCACAGAAGTTCAAGCTCTGAATGCTTCTGTTGGACTGGCGTTGTTGTCGTGGTTGCTGCAGTTTAGCTTTGTGTGGCAGGAGACTGCTGAAATGCTTGGGGAAAATTGAGATCTAAGGTGCAAGCGCAGCTTACGACCCACAGCAAGCCAAGCTGAAAAACCCGCTCACACAAGGAACCAATATCAGTGAAGCGTCATCGCTCTGATGTACATGTGAGCCATAGTCTAAACTTCTAGCATCCCCCTTAAAAACCCCTATAGTAGTTTCCTATATAATCCCCTACATAACCCTCCTTATAGGAGTTTAGACTCTAGCTCATGTACTCTTCAGATGTCGAGGCTGTGGCTTTCAGTTTTAGAGCACCATGACATCAAGACAGCTCCTGTTTTGGAGCTGCTGGATGGGATTGCCTGATGACTCGCCGTAGAATCACAAGATGCTATGGTTTTATAGTGAGGTTCATACACTCTGGCACAGTTTAGGCACAAAGTGTGGCACATAATGTAGAAGCCACAATTCGGAGCATTCTCCCCGTATGACACTATAAGCAATATGCCACAGGCCCTATTCTAGTTGCATAGGCACCTACAATATCCACTGGTCAACGCACCTCGCCCCGCTCCCCTTCTTCTCCTTCCTATACCTTTGTATGCTTCTTCTGTAGTGGGTACCTCTTGACCGCTGAAATGCTTGTCTACATATGTGTATAGATGCCATCCGCAGTGTTCAGCTTATTGCAGAATGTTTTTTCTTCAGATTCCCCTTGGCTCGTGTTTGATCCTCGTCTGGCTGGGCCCACTAGGGGTAGAGGCAGTAGCTGCCATGCTCGGCATTCTTATCGCAAAACCGAGATACAGGGACGTGTTCAGGGATTCCAGGGATCAAAGGGATAATAATCAGAGGATTGCAGTTGTGTCCTTCGAGGGCTAGAAGGAGTTTTGCGCACTATACAAAAGCACGCGCATTACTACGCAATTTCTGGCTTCCTGCAGCCCAGCTGCGATACTCCTCCTTCAGTGGCGCATGCACGGTGGAATAACCTGCAGCTCGCGCCTGGCATCAGCAACGTCTGACTACGTTCATGATCAGTCCTCTGCTGGTTTCCATCTCAGTGTCATAGTCACCGGTGGCAATACCAAATTGGGATAGAGATTGGACGATGTAGCGCGGTGGGCGGTCTACCGGCACTAACTAGAATGAACGATACAGCAAACCCTACCATGGTCGACAGGATCACTCATCCCTGCATGCTGTGCCCATAGCAGCATCGCGAATCAGCTGTACAGTTATCAGCTCTCGCAAGAGGTATCACTTTTGGCAGTACACTTCTGTTCATGCGTTTGTCAGAGAAAGAGAAAAATGCAGTACTTCTCTACAGGACAATCAAACCATGCGGCAACAGCAGAAACAATAGCAGCGTAGGAAACGATCCGCAATGACTTGCAGATGTTCAGTGTCCCAAACTGTAGATACCTGCCGAAAGCTGCCTGCTCAATCCATTTCTGGTATGGCGTGCGCTGGATACCATTTGTTGGCCTGGGCACAAGGCACCGTCTTCACTCCAAGGTTCCAAACACTGCACTTGAACCCACGCAAGGACCTGATTTGTGCTTAGCCCCTCCTTCCAGGGAACACCAGAATTGGGCCAAGATTCCAGTAGGAACTGTTGACGGTGCTCTCCGCCACGTACAGCTCCCCATGCTCCCAGATGGCAATCGCCGTGTGTCCCGTGTGAGAGCCCATGCCTGTGAGCAGAGGAGATCTTGTTTGGAGCCAGGGGACCTTGGGTTGTCAGTAGATGGTCAATGTCGGGCGTGTCAGACTGAGTGTGATTGAAGCTGCTGCGCCTTGACCCTGCACAAAATGAATGACCTTCGTCACCTTTGACGGGCGTGATAGGGTTGCTAGTCATCAAACACTGGTGAGACGGCCTGTGTGTAGGGAACACCCTTCATCAAGGCACATTCAAACCAAAGCCAAGTCCGTGTGCTGCGAGGATCGATCTCAACTTTTCCAACACTTGTTAGCTGCCAAGTGGTTTCCACTAGGAGAAGGCTGGGAACTGAACTGTACGACAAACATGTTCCCAATGTTCAGACTCTGTTGGCACGCTTTTTGACCGGTGTTCACATACCAAAAGGAATCAGGGAATCCTGGATTACAATCTTCTCGTCTTTCTGGGCCCAGTTGCCCCAAGCCAACATGGGATCCAGACCGTCCAGTCGCAGCACCCCGATGAAATCTCCGGAGCGGATATCCTCTTGCTGCGGTTGGAGGCTTGGGGTTTAGGATTCAGGGTTTCAACTGTGGGAAGTTTGAGGCTGTGGGGCCTGGATTGATTCAAGAGATTTGGCTGGGCGCTTAAGTCAACCATTTTGGACCTGGGGAGTGTGGAGCTTGGGCGTTTGCCAGGTATGACTCTTCTGTAGCCCAATGTAATACCCCAATAATGGAGAATCAAGTGGAAAAGCAAATGGAAAATGAAATGGAAACTAGGGGTTTATGGGGATGCATAAGGATCCAAATAGCCCAATGTAGGTAATGTTGGCTGGAACCTAGGAGTCAGGAACTACTGCGCCAGTGAGGTTTTGAAGGGCCTGCTGCGCCCTAAACGCTACGAAAAAGCAAAAAGAGTCCGATTGTGATTCAGCATCGCACCCTATATAAATCCGGTTTCCATTTCATGTTCATTACCTTTCCATTTCATTCTCCATAAGTTCAGGATTGAAAATTAAAATGGACTGGCTTTGCGCTGATCAAGCCTCAGATCCCTCCTATATGTGCTCGCGAAGCAGACGGAGCCAAATCTAATCCCAGAGACCTACTTTACTGGTGGTTAGCAGGGAATAAGGGAACATGTTATATAGGGATTCCATTCCCTATTGTTCCCTAATTACTAATGACCACCCGTAAGATGCGCGGCAAGTATCCCGCAGCCAAGACGAACATGAAGGAACTAAAACCCAAATCCCTAAACCCTATAAACCCTAAACTCAAGCCCATATCCATCCAAATCCACAACCTTTCTGCTGTCTGGTTGACTTGCCAAGAGACCGAGGAATTGAGCAGAAGCCCTCCCGGATCCTTGCGGGGTTTCAAGGTTGCGCCGATGTAGTTGCGCATGAAGTCCGCATTTCGCTCGGCGAAGGAGGATTGCACGCCTAGAGGGAGCTCTGGATTTTGCCAGCATGAGTTCAGTGCCCTAAACTTTTACACAGGACTTATTATCTTGATGATTCAATGGAATGCCCGTGGCAACCATGGAGGAAACCCAGCTGTCACAAGGACCTCGAGTGCGATCCGGCGCAAAGAGCAGCGCAGTTTCCAGAATGTTGCGGACCGTTACCAGTGGATTATCCTGGAAGGTGAAAACCCTGATGCCCAGGGTCTCCACATCCCATACTTGGCTCTCTGTCAACCTTGGGCGCAGAGGATTGGGCACTTGTCTTCAACATTAAGGAGCTTAGATTAAGTTACCATAATGGGTGTGTATATATATATAGTAAATAATAGGGTTTCCCCAATATAGTAGCTTAATTTAAGTTCCTTAACAGCAACCCAGAAAAAGCTGTGGGCTGAGCATTGCCAGAGCTGAGAGCACGACGCAGCAATCGGAAAGGTGAAGGTCTTGGTGCCTCCAATGGGGGCCGGGAAGAAGCCGACTCTGAAGTGCGAGCCTGTGAAGAAGCCGAAGATCTCATCGCACACCCTTGGCATGACCACCCATCTGGTTGGAAAGCACCAGCTGCCCTAATCACCCTTCAAGCCCTGAAAGTTTCGAAGACCATTGGACAGACCCACCTCCTTCACCCTCCTGTGTCACCATGCATGCCCCTCAAATGAAATTCTCTCCTGCTCTTAGCCCAGCGTCAGATGCTTTGCCTTTGAGACCTTGACCTTCAGCACCCAGTTTCCGCTGACTTTCGACGACACGGCTGTGATCTGGGCCAGATGGCTTTAAGAGGCGTCGGGAGCAGCTTTTCCTGAAGAAGTTTCCACAAGATTCTAGGGCTGTGGAGCAAGCTGGATGCCTGCAAAGGCAGAGCATAATCTGCTACATATCTCACGACTGTCGGTTGCTGTTCTCCGGATTTAAACAGCTGTGCTGTCTTCATCAAATCCATGCTTAAGCTCTTTGGCTTCGCACTCTGAATATGTCAACGAATGAAACTAGGCAAGGCTCTCCAAGACTCGATGTGATGCTCTCGCCAGTCAGAATTCCCCCTATCCTTTCTACAGTCCCAAAGGGACCTGGAGAACTGCACAGTACAAGGCCACAAGCTGTCAGGCATGTACATGTAATTATTGCGGTTCTCGTCGAGCCCCATAACGTTTGGAACCTCCTCTACAGGTTTGTGCTTCTCCAAAGTGGTGTCTGCTTATTCCCCTAAAACAGAATGTAATCAGTACAATACAGGTCGGCGAATTTGGACCTAGTCAGAAGCCCACTTGCTCCCTTGGGCCACGCGCTTATTCGATCCTCATCTGGCTTCTGTTCTCACAGTTCCAAACACAGCTTGGAGCATGAGCCCAGAACATTGACGCAGCAAATCCGATGAATCCCAAGTCTCCCGCAGAATCTTCCCTAGCCCATTCGCAACCTGCGACCTCTCCATGCATCCCAGCCACCTGGTTCCAGCAGCGACTGGACCAGGTCACTTGCGTCTGGTTGGCAGAGACACGGTCCACAAACTTCCTCAGAGGGTCGCGAAAGTGCTGTGGGCTTCAGCTTTCATCTGAGGGTCTCCAGGCGCTGCTACGCTGCTCTTTTCATTTTGAGTTGCAGGCGCTAGGCTCCTAACATTCCACGCGTGTTACGTGGCCACGGCATGCCCTGCTATAACATGTGTCTGTGGCACCTCGTGGCCTTGGGCGGCAGAGCTCGGGCACTCCAGTCTGTACGAGCATTGAATTAAGGTAAGCTGCTCGAAGCACTCAGCGCTTTCGAGCGTCTCTCACTAGGCAAATTCCTGAAACTGAAACACATCGTGGCCAAGCACGGCCTCAGTTTCCACCGTACCTGCACTCGACGACTCTACAAAGAGTGCAGTCCAGTGTTGGCTGTTCTGGCCCCGTACCAGACGAAAACAGGGCAACGGACGAGCTACGCTCAGTCAAGTGCCCCAAGAGAGGTTTGAGCAGCTGGGCGTTCCAACTTCGAAACCTGTCTACTGCTTCAAAAAAAACATTCCACGGCCAAAGGCCCAGCTGCTTTATGAAAACCTGCACACTAAGGTTGCGGGGCTAGGATCAGGATGTCAAACTGCTGGCTGGTCCACTTCTGTGCAACTTGTGTGTCTGCATGGGAGAGACTTCGCAGCAAACCTGATCTGTCGCGCAGCATACTTATAATCTGAATCTAAGGGCTGTTCATCCACGTGTGTGACTACCCAGGAAGGGTGAACCGGAGCGCTGCCCGAGAATTCCGTGCCGACTGCAAGGACAGTCAACGGCATACTTTTCGAGAAGCGCAGACACAGGGGTGTGGAGTAGAACTGAACTTCCGCATGATGCTTGTCATCTGGAGTCTTAAAAGACAGCTTCAGCGTTCTGTGCTCATGTTCCGTGCCAACCTCCTCATCGAAGGAAGAAGCTGCCGTGGACACTGAAGCTTCTGAATCATTCCACACATCGTGTGGGGCTACGCCTGTTTCCCATACCTTGTGCGTCTCGCAGCTAACATTGCGATTCTCGTCTGGAAGATCTGTGAGAACCGTTTCATGGCCAGACTGATCCTGAACGAAGCTGGCAAAGCAACACGAGAACATGGCCAGGTAAGGCCAGGTTTGGCTTCGCAAGGCAAGCGCTGTAACTGCAACGAGAATTGAGCCAACTTCCAGGCATTGCATATTGGGGTTATAAAGGAATAATGCACAAGAAAATGGAAGCTCCTGTAGTATACGTGTTATATGGGGTTATATAGGGATTATGGAAAAGAAAATGGAACCTGCCATAGCATATAAGCTCTGAACAACACGTTCAGGGCTGGGGGCCCTCAAGTATGCGGGCGAGAGACTCTGCTACTTCGAAGGTTTGTACCAACTGTGTGATGCTTCTCAAAGTTCTGAATAGCTCCTCAGACACAGCTTCTGAAACTTAGGTCCCTCTACTTGAACAGGGCCAATGCAAGGCAACGCTGAAACAGGCGCGAATCATGACATGTTGAAGAACATTACCCCAATATACTATAGTAGTTTCCATGTTCTTTTCCATTATCCCTATATAACCCCAATATATACCCTATATAACCCCAATATATACCTTAAATAACTACAAATGAGACCAGGATGGTCCCCTGGAATCCTCAGATGTTTCTAAGTCTAGCCATTGGTCCTACAGAGTCCCGGCAGCACCTGTTATCACAAGTGAAGTTACTCCCGCACCCACTCTTGAATGTCGAAACCTTGCTCATTGCATTGCATGAGGTTACCACTTGCCTTCCGAACGGAAGATTCCTTCACTTTCTGGGCGTTACTAGTGAATATGGGAATATATAATGCAGGGAGTATATAGGGAACATATTGCCGTATTCCCTACTAGATTAAATATTGCCGTATTCCCTACTAACAACCAACAAATTCAACAAGAGCAGTCCATCCACAACGCCAGACAACATGGCCCGAGGTTGGGAAACCACATAGTTCCTAGGTCTAAGTTCCCTTAACCCTAAACCCTGAACACTAAACCCTGAACCCCTGTAGTCCCTTGTAAGTAGATAGACTATGGGGTACATGGGGATCTTATTATAATATACCCAAGGCCATATCCTGTCTACTCAAGGGGGACTATAAGCCTAAACCCTTAACCCTCCTGGGTGATGCAGAAGTTACCTCGAAGCTTCTCTTTGCGGCTTCGTGGCGGCAGAAAGCCCCAGTAGCTGTAGCTGCCCGAGGACCTAGATTAATGCACCGTGACCATGAGGCTTAGCCTATGAATAACAGCGACACCATGCCAGCAAGAGCAGGAAAACTGCAGCTAGCCCGACCCCAGCACCAGATCTCAAAGGAATAGGGGGAGCCTCATCCATAACTTGATCAATTCTGACCACTTGATGCAATGGTGCTGGATCTCTGAGGGAGGAGTACCTACAACTTAGACTGCAGCATGAGCATTGAGCGGAGACCTTGGAGATTAACTGACGCTGCATTGGGCGTATCAGAGGTTCAAAAAAGTGTCGAAGGAAATTGTGGCCAAGCTGTGTGGCACCATTGCCCAAGCTCAGCACACCCCTTGGAAAAAATTATGTGGCAAGAGCACGCGTACTGCTGAAGTTTTACGGTTTTCTCAATGCCGGGATGCCTTTGGGACCCTAGCAATGTAACATGGAAGGTATAAGGGGATTAGGGGTAGCCACCTTCGATATTATGTGAACGAACGGCTGAACTTGAGGAAAAGACCACGTACATCATACGTGTGGCAACTTGTAAGGGTCTCCACAAACTTTCCATCGTTTTGTGCTCAACATAGCTTCACGAGCCCTCATCAAGTTGCAATAGCCACCAGCGCCACCATCACCGTCACAACGACTAACGGTAACTTCAGCTAAGGAGCCCCAGCTCTTCTCCGGAGTTAGCCTGGTGCAGAAGCGCCTGCACAGGAGCCGGCTACAAACATACAAATGAGCCACTCTAAAACTGGTACCGGCCCGGAATTCTATGTCATCGTCATCATCATCATCAGCAGGAGCACAGGCGGATGCAAGCAGTGAAAACATCTGCAGGCAGGTATCGTCTGGGATCTGCAGACGCACACCCTCTGTTCAGTTTCTACTACAGCCTGAACAAACCAATCTTCACTATACAGCTCCACTCCTGGCACGTTCCTGGAAGAGGCAGGTCTGTGATGAAGAACGTTGCAAGTTTAAATTGAGTCTGGAAAAACACACATGTGCACGCACACAGCCTCGATTCGTCACATCCACCAACTCCGGACAAACCAAAACTGGAACCCATAGGCATGAGAAACCTGGAACAATCACAGGCAGCGCGAGCAGCATCCTCATAAGACTGCTTTCCAAGGTCTGCTCATCTGAGGGTTGCCCTATCCTCGGTATGTAACGCTTTCCCACTTATGCAATATCCCTGAATCCTGCCTTCTAGAAACTCAATAGTCACAAGTCCCATGGGACCAAGTGCAGATCTGTGCCGATGAGTTTCTGTGAGTGTTACTCAAATCAAGTCGGGACTGGCTTCATAACCCACCGAAAAATGCTGAAGACATCGCATGGGGACTCTAAGCGGAATCCCCCCACCCTTAATATAGGGAAACCCTGAACCCTCTATAAATACTATATGCCCCGTTTAAAGGGCCCTAAACCCTAAACCCCAAACCCCAAACCCCCCACAGAATTGAGACCTCCGGAACGCCGTTGCGCCTCTTTGATCAGCTTCTCAGCTTCTGTCAAAGGACCTCACGACGCATCATGACTGAAGGCTACTCTGATAATGGGGTTTGGGGCTTAGGATTTCGGGTTTAGGATTTGGGATTTAGGGTTTGGGATTTGGGGTTTGGGGTTTAGGGTTTAGGGCTTGGGGTTTAGGTTTCAGGGTCCATTTCAAAACCCAACACAAGGCTGTTGGCTGGCTGTTCCCCATATAAACAGCCATTCGACTTTGCCCAGAATTGGCGGGAACTTGGTCAAGGTGTGGATGTAATGCTCGAAAAGGGTTTAGGGTTTAGGGTCCAGGGTTTAGGGTTTAGGGTGCTTGCGCGAAATCTTCTTGCTATGCTTGGGCTACAAAATCCCGAGCCCTAAATAGTAGTTGCCATTTTCTTTCCAATTGTCCCTATATATATATACATAACCCCTATTATCAACCTATATATTCCCTAGTATAATGTAGTAGTACAAAATCAACCCTCGTCTTGACTCCCAAATCCTCGGTGCCAGGCAGGTTGCCGGCATTCGGCCCCCACGTTGCCCTACTACAGGGGTTATGTAG